TGATCAAGTCCTGTCACGATACTGGTAAGTTCTGCTCTTGTAAGTACATGCTAACTCAATCTTATCCAGCTAATCTCAGCAGATTCCTGGCACAATCCTTAGAGAAACTTCGATGAAAGTCTAGTGGAATTCGACAGTACCCTCGAAGGATCCTGGAAAACTTTTTTCACAAGATATCTAAAAATCCTGAAAAAAACTTGGCAGGATCTTTGAAAAACCTTGTTTTGAATCCTGTCAAGATCTTGAAATTCCGTGGCTACACGCTTCCTCCAGGATTTAGTCGTTTCGTGACCGAATCCTGGTTCAAAAACAATGATAAACCTGTTAGGATCCTTAAAAAGCTTGTTTACAATCCTGTCAGGATCTTGAAATTCCGTGGCTACACGCTTTTTTCAGGATTTAGTCGTTTCCTTAGGAAAAAAGAGCGAATCCTTGCAGGGTCCTTGTCGGATCTGTCAAGGATCTGGTACTGAAACATCAAAGATTTTCCCAAGGGATACCTAAAAGAGAGAGATATGACTTTTTGATAGTGAGTTTAATGGTCCTTGGGTTTTTTCCTGATATATCCGACAATCTCAAATAATATAATTCCCAGCATTTAAGTGTCTTTCTATTTTTATTTATAATTATAAGAACAAAGAATTAAATTGTTTCGTTTTAAGAACAAATAGTGCCGGACAATCAACTCTTATAAATGTACGAAAGTTTCTACGTACAAAAACATTTTAGTTCTATTTGTGCAGCTTATGGCGCCGAATCTGGACTTAATTTTGAAAAAAGAACGTGCATTGATCAATCTGGAATGTCGAGAGATTGTCCTCCCATTTTCAGAAGTTTCCTAAGTAGCGTAGTTCCCTAAATCACGAGGTGCACATTTTGATTAAAAAAGGGAGGAAAGAAGAAAATAAATTACAGAGCAATTGTGCTGCGCACACGTCGCGATGTCGACAGACTCTGTCTCGCTGATAACTGCTAAAAAGTTATCAATTTAATCGGCAGATTTCCACTGCACCGCTTTCATTGTGACTTTCTATTTCAGTTACTTTAAAAGACACAATTAGAAAGAATAATAGAACAGAGAACGAAATAGCTATAAAGAACAGAGAAACAGAAATGACAGAGAATTATTTCAGTGAAAAACTGTGCATTGAGCAATCTCTAGTGTCGGGACATTATCCTTCCGTTTTCAAAAGTTTTCTACGTAACATACTTCTTTAGATCACGCAGCGCACATTTTGCGATAAAAAAAATTCACACCAAAACTACATAATGTCTATCGACATAATTAGCAGCAAAAAAATAAGAATGACAAGATAGGTAGTTATAAGTCAAATGAATAATTATTAATGCGGTGCGAAGCATACCACATTATAGTGATCAACTGTGTTTTTACTTTCTAGACAAAAAAAGTGTCATTTTATAACGATTTTCTCATAAACTAGAATGGCTAGTGTAAAATCTTAAATAGGAGCAGCGAGTTGTGAGACCGAATTAGTAAATGTCCCCTTTTCAGACATTGTGGCTAATCCAGTCATTAACTAGAAGGTTCGAAAGAAGGTGTTTTTGTATGTTTGAGACTTTTTCAAGAAAAAAACGGATAATTAATCTGACGTGAGTCATACTGACATTTTTAAAGCAAAATGTTCCCATATCGTGTGATTCACTTTATCACCATGTTCCATATGTATTCAACGAATAGCTAACGCAATGACTAGCCACTAGACGCCTTACTGTGTTATAAATAATTACCGCAGTGTGTATGATAAAATCTCTAGATTATGATAAAGGTTATAGCATAGTTGCAAGAGAGCAACTGAGTTCTCTGTTGCCGTATCCTTTACTTTTGTAATAATGATGTCAGATAGTTGCGACAAAGACAATGAATAGAAATAAAACCGGTATATAAACCGAATGATGAAAAAAAGATGTATATAAACTTCAGTCTTCATTTCTCCTTCTTATTAAGGAAAAAGTGTAAAAGTTTTTTCAAAAAAAAACCGATGAAAATACTGCTTCTAAAAACACACAGGTTTTCAATCTTACCTAAATCGTTTTGCCATTCCGGAAACTGTCATAACAAAACTATCAGATTCATTTAAAAATTTCACATCTCGAATGTGTGTAAATGATATTTTTGAATTGTACGTATAGGCCAAATTTCTTTTTCACCATTTTTATTCTAAATGAATAATAAAAGAAAATATTTATTATTAATAAAAAAGTATTAAATAAGAATTGAATGTATTTACTGTTTGTGTGAGATACGAAACGGTGATATTAATATTGAATAATGCAATATAACCATTACTGTATGATGAAATTATTCTTGATGGATACAATTTACTCCAATCAATTGATAAACATTGTGGTAATGAACCATGATGATTTAAAGATAATTTTAATTGTTTTGTTGAGTTATAAAATGGATACATTATTGTTGTTGTTGATTTATCTGACGATTGCTCAATAATATTATGAATATAAATATGATCAGAACTACACACAGCAGCTAAATATCCTAAATCATTTTTATTATGTTCATGGTTTTGATATGGTGCCCATTTTAAATTCCAAATAGCACCGGATATTTTTATTGGTAAATAACAAACGAGTCGATAATGTTTTGGATATGTACATGTTTTTATATCAGACAAATCAAATTCCCATGAATACTATGTGTTCAGTTCGAAATAGGGGACAAACGAGACACTGATTTCCACCGGTTCAAACGTGGCATCAGATTCCTTGGAACTTCCAAAACTGGTATCATGTAGCATGAAGAGAGAGAAAATTATATAAATAAGAGAACAATAAACATCAGGCGTCATTCACAGGGATCGGGACTTGGAAGGCAGAGTGAAAACAACCCGGAAATCACAATTTTCGTAAAACTTGGTTCTACTGGGTTTTAAAATCTTTTTCAAAAAACAGATATTGCCACGAAATCAGCATGACCGATTACATATAATCCACCTGTTTCCGGGGCTACCTATTGCCACTAGGTACCAGTCCTGAGGTTCCAAGAAAATCCGATACTATTTCCGCATCACTAGAAATCAAGAGCTCGCTTGGCTCCCGTTTTGAAGGAGGCACTCTGGTCTATCAATCCGTGAGAAAAAACAATATAATCATATCGGGAATTTTTTGAGACAATTTTCCAAATATCTAGAAAATGTACTTCAGAAGACCCTTCTGCAAATTTATTTTAATATGAACATATCTTCAAGTCTCCTCTTTCGAATGACAAAAACCAAAGCGCTCTATAGAGCACTTTGGTTTTCTTTTTCATCAAAAAGTAATGAATTTCTTGCATACATACAACCGTTAAACAGTGTAAAAAATACACTCCTTTCGTTATCATCTGCATTTGTTACTTCGACTGTAAGAGAGTGCTTAGTAATAAATAAAATAATTAAATTATTGTATTTTCAAAAGATATAATATAGAATGGGGTATATACATTTGTTTATTGTACAGTTGAAACTTTATATTCATGAACTTTACGAAAACAAAAATGTTGAAATACAGCGCAAGATTATTCTTGCTGTGTAGCAGACATTACAACTTTTTCCAAATTCATGTTTGTTTGACAGCAGAAATGACATGCTGTGCTATTTATTGATTCCATATTTATATAATTGCCGTTTGCACACCGTTTAATTTGATTTTGTACACTGTTTCATTCCATTTTGTACACTGTACTTAACGATTCTGCTTGATTTCATGAGAATAAAATGTATACCCATAAGTTTCGTTTGTTTTTCTCATTCTATATTATCTCTTTTGAAAACACAATAATTTAACTTTTTTTTCGTTCTTGATTACTAATTAAATTTATTATCTCTTTTGGGATTCCAAAAATTTCACATTTTCGTTCTATTATCTCTTTTGGGGCCAAGCGTTTGAAACAGTATGAAGGAAACATCTAAACTGAGAATGTGCAGCATACATGTCTGAACATTTTTTCTGTACGATGAATATTTCAGATGTTTCCTTCATACTGTTTCAAACGTATTTTCAAGAATGTGTGCAGATAAAAATACTTTTCACGATTATACTTAGGGTTGACCAAAAGTTCGTAGAACGATGATGCTCGCTCC